AGCCGACTCAAGGGAGGGGTGATGGATACCGATCAGTTTCTGGCAGGCCTGGAGGGGTTTAGCGAAAAACTTGGCCCCATTTTCCTGATGCCCAATCCTACGATGGGGATAGGGGAACTTCCGACCATCATGCGGTTTATAGAAAACATCCCATCAAAATTCAAACTTTTCCTTGAACTGAGGCATCCCAGTTTTTATGAAAATGGTCTGCCAGACCAATTGATTTCCTTTATGAGAGAGCAGAAAAGGGGAATGGTCATCACCGATTCGGCAGGCCGGAGGGCTATGTGCAACTAGAATCCATTAGAGATATTTACTTTTAGCAAAAGATTTTGAGAAAAATTATAACGATGAAATAAAGTATCTTTATAATGCTAAATTACAACTTATGCGATATAAGATTATATTGCTGTTTCTTATTGCTAGCAATTGCTTTAGTATAGTTAAAGCACAGTCTATACAGCTATTTCAAGTTGATACAGCAGATCAGTGGGTTGGAAATATACATTACTTCAACGCTATAACCTTGTCATCTAATAAGATTATTCATTGTTTTAACCGCAATCAATCTTACAATCCAGGTGGTGATACCTATGGAGATGTAAAAATCAATATTTATGATACACAGGGAAGGTTACAAGAGCAGGAAAAAAGCTACGGCGATTCACTATTTATAACCAAGACCTTATTAAAATCTAACGGAGAAAAAATTATTCTAGGTGACGGTTATCGACATTTGGATTTATATGGAATGGATACGAGCCTTGCTGCAATCAATGGGAAACCCAGCTCTTATATTCTTCATCTTGACGCATCCAATCAAACACTTAACTATGCAGAACTTGCTCAAGTGAGAGACATAACCTTGGATGAAACAACTAATACTTTATATTTCGTAGAACAATATGCATATGATTCGGCAAATGTGTACGCTTATAATCTCTCTAATGGTCAAAAATCTGTAATAGCTACTATTGATGAGGCTCGTTTAAATGCAAGAATCTTAAAAACAAAGCATTTCATTTATATCGCCGGAGCTACTATTAATTTTGCTGTTACCGTTAACGGCCAACAGCAATCCACTCCATTTGCTTATGGGACGTTTATTTTGCAGCTTAATAACAACGGAGGTTTGAAGTGGATTAAAATCGTAGAGGATATAACGACTCCGGATATAGGACTAGCCACAGCACCAGATCAGGGTGTTTATATGTCCGCAGACTTGAATATTCCACTGGTTATTGGGATGGATTCTCTGAATGGACCAGGATGGGGTGGTGACTTTATCCTTACAAGAATTGACAGTAACGGCAATTTCCTGTGGGCAAGAGATATTCCTAATATATCTGTTTGTGGATTTACATTAGGCTCAGGGTTTCATATCGATAATGATGACAATTTTGACGTCTATCTGGCAGGGGCATCTAGAGGAATAATACGGTGGCCAGATTCCTCTTTTATTGGAAGAAATGGCAATATTATGGTACCCACCCTTCTAATC